CCTAAACACACAGTTTACACTCAGCGCTCCCTCGCCGCATAAATATTAGTTGTGGACCGCATGCGGCCCGTGAGTTTGACATGGCTGCTGTAAATCTTAAATAAATCACCAGGAAATGCAAATTTCAGGACAAGCTAGCTGAGGTAAGAAATGAATAGTTGATCTGGAGGATTTTTCCAAAATGGTTATTTTGCTTTGAACGTGCCCTTCAACAAGTCACAGTTTAGTGAATAGCCCTAATAATATCACTGTCATTCTAAAACATGATTCTTACTCTGAGATTGCCCTACAATAGGATTAGGCTAGCCCATTGATGCTACCTCCCTTCAAGCTTTTATATTTTGTGGGGAGATCTATTTGTCCTGAGGCTGCCGGCTTTAGAAGCAAATGGAATTGACATCCATGATATTTAATACAGTTAATATTATGACCTGTTTCTACCAGGTGGAACCCACTAAAATGACATGGGAACCCTATTTTGGGTCCCGTCCCAATAACAGATCTGGAAGTGCAGTGCACATTGTTACCCTCAATGCTAAAAAACATGTACAGGAGGAAAAAGACATAGAGAAAGGGGATGAGGGGAAGATAGATGATATGAGGGAGATCAAGATGAGGAGGATAGATGAAGTGAGGTGGTGGCTGTGAGGGCGATGGAACACATTAGGAGGGATACAGACGTTGTATTATTAAGGGAAAATAAATGTGTTTTGAGTGACTGAATGAGAAGGATGCTGATGACAAAATATTAAGTATAAAAGGTAAGACTGTATAGCACTCATGAGACCAATGTGGAGATGTAGGTTACGATGATATTTAAATTAAGTGAAATGAAGGATGATTATACCAAATAGATTGATGGCATGACTGAGGAGGGAAATCTACAAAAAAGGATTTTGGAAAGTTAAATAAGCAATTTACATTATAAATTTACATTATAAACAAATATCAACTGTGTCTCCCAAACAAAATTATAACCTGTTTAGTATTAACCACAGCATGTCAAATACCTGATTCCTGCCTGTTAGTAGACTACCAATACCATGAATCTATGCAGCTGACCATATCATATAGTTGGCTATGGATACAGGTAGGTGGTAGTTGGAAGATTGTTAAAGAAACACTGCATTGGAAAAAAATAAATAAATTAGTAGATATACCTCCAGTGAAATCATACATGCATTTAATTCTGCATTTCTTTTGCAATGGGGGTATAACTAAAAAATGCCTGGAAAAGCTGCAGACCTTCTGTCTGCAGCCTTTGCAAGCCATCTTCCCTCTGTCCCCAGCACAGACTTTCAAATGTTGTACAGCTCAATGAGAAGAGGTGACTGATATGGAAAAAAACTCTGGTTGTCTGCAATAATAATAGTTGATTTCTATTAAAATCGGCACTTTAACTGTCACAAATATAACAGACTCCAAAAGCAAGTAAAAGTGTTTCATGTGTGTGGAGTGGTTCTTTAATCAGATGAATCTATTTGATGTTTAAAGTATTTTACAAGCTTTTTGATTTTCTTCCTCCCTTGTGCTATCAGACATTTGTTACCTGGCTTCTCTCCGTTGCTTGGTAATTTCTAAGTAGAGTGTGTTGAACAATAAAGGGTGTGTTATTCCTCTAACAGCTCAAGTTTGTGCTGTTATATCAAGGTGCTTTATGAAGACATTCTGGTGATATCGTCAGTGAAAGTGAAGTTTTTTTCATTTTTCCTCACACAAATGGCCCTTACACGGACGATATAATTGTTATGATACGTTTTACTGTTTAACCCCTTAAGGACTGAGCCAAATGTACACGTTGTGATCAAAACAAAACATAAACAAAAACTTGAATTTGTGCTATATGTCTGTTCAGGCGTAATTCACCTCTTTCATATTATGTGCACACACACATATTATATATCACTTTATTCAGTGGAAACAGGGCTTTCATTTAAAATCAAATATTTAGGTATAAAACATAATTTGGGAGAAAATAGGAATTCAAAAAAAATGTTTAGTTCTACGTGACATTCTAACTGTGAATGTCATAATACTGTTTGCTTTTACTGCAATAAAATACACATATTTGTATTCATCAATGTCTCACATGTAAAACAATACCCCCTATGTACAGGTTTTATGGTGTTTTGGGAAGTTACAGGGTCAAATATGGCATGTTACATTTTTCAGTTTTTTCACAAGTGGCTACTAAAAAAGACTGGACATACCCCATTTGCAATACCTTGGGTTGTCTACTTTTGCAAATGGTATGCCATCATGGGGGTAATTCTCATTCCTGGGCTACCATACTGTCTCAAAGGCATCGTAACCAATCTGGCGTATTTCAATGTGAAAAAACTGTAACGCAAGCCTTATATTTGACTCTGCAACTTTTGAAAACACTATAAAACCTGTACATGAGGTGTACTGTTTTACTCAGGAGTATATTAGAGTTTCAAAACAGTAAAACGTATCACAACAATTATATCGTCTGTGTAAGTGCCATTTGTGTGTGAAAAATTTTACTTTCACTGACAATATCATCGTTGTAATACATTTTACTGTTTTGAAACACTAATATTTGTTTTCAGCGATGCCTTCCGAGTAAAACAGTACCCAACTTGTACAGGTTTTATGGTGTGCTGGAAAGTTACAGGGTTAAATATAGTGCTAGCAAATTAAATTCCCTTTACTTTCGGCATGGGTTGTCAGGCAGGTCCCGCTAATTGTAATTAATAAAATGTCCTAGTTATGTAAAATTATTATATATATATATATATATATATATATATATATATATAGAGATACACACACACACACACACACACACACACACACACACACACGTGTGTATATATATATATATATATATAAATGTATATATATATTTTTAAAATTATTTTTATTTATATAGGTATATATATAGTGATATATAAGTATATACTTATGTATATAGATATATATATTATTTCGTTCTACGTGTATTTTGATATCTATATATAAATTTTAAAATACAGTTAGAATGAAATTATATATATTTTTTATTTATTTATTTTGTATTATTTTTTTTATTTTATTTTTTTAACGTATTTACATATATATTTATTTTAATCAATATCATTGTAAGTTTACTTTGATATTAATATATATATATATATATATATATATATATACACACACACACTTAGATCATATATAATAATTATATATATGATCTAGGTATATATAATTTGATTTAACACTGTTTTAAACTTTATTTTTATCAGACAACAGGGGGAGTACCTGTCATTACAGGCACTCCCCCTGCTGACAATGGACCTCGCAATCACATGGCCCAGGGGGGCCGAAGAGGAAGGAGGGGACTCCCTGGGCTCCCATACCGGGATTGCCGGCGACTGGGTAAGTACACAGGACGGCGGGGACGTGCTATGCCGCCCCCCCCCCAGCGTTTAGAGCCGGTTCCCTAAGGACGGCATACCACGCCCGCCGTCCTTAAGGGGTTAATCAGACAATTGGTTACTTCCTGGTATTTTGGCTCAGTGAAGTTAAACTCAAGTGCCAAAAAATTGCCCAGAGCACCTGCCTTCAAAGACTTCTCATTGAGTTACACTGGGAAGTCTGTGATTGGACAGCTACAGAAAGTCTAGGCTCGGGAAGAAGGGCAGAGCTTGCAATGCTACAGATAATAGATCTGCAGCTTTTGCAAGCTGTTTTTATGATTTACCACAATAAAAATATGCATAATTAAATGTAAGCATGCTTTCATTTACTAAACAGTCTTTTGTATTTGGGCAGCGGAGTGTCCATGTAAGTGTATACTGATGAAACAAACAAGACTACAGCGTATGAAAGAATATAATCATTCTTTAAACCAGAGTATTGTCTGTTTTTTTTAAAAAATACAATTTTCTCTAATATCACTTATAATGGGAGCTTCTGACCTCAATGAATTATTTCTAGAAGTCAGGTGACCATACAAAAGTTATTTTATACAAAGCACTAGAAGTAGAAGCAACTACAAATATTTTGTATTAGGGTAGCAGATTTACTTGGATGGCAAGGTCAATAATTTAGTTTGTTTGTATTTTTGCTTAAGGCAGCATTGTCACTGTCTAGGGATTTTGCTAAATTTGCACTCTACTAGGGTTATCTGAATGCTGTATGTATTATTGTCATGGCATGTGTAAGTGCCATGTTAAAGGTTTCATATGGTAATGGTTGTATTATGTATGTCATATAGAAGCAATCTGTATTACTGGTGGGTTCTTTATGTTGGCTATTTCAAGAATCACATTACTACTACATTCTGTCTGATTACACTTTATTTTGGAGCCTTCCATGAAAGAGAGACAGATACAACATATAATGTTGCTATTTTAATGTTTCCACTAGATTTCAAGGAACACTCCAAACACCATCATATCTACTACAAAACACTCTAGCGCAGGGGTGCACAAGATCCCTAGATGTTTTAAAACTACAGCTTCCATGGGAGTTGTAGTTCTACAACATCTGAGGATCTACCTATTGGGCATCCCTGTTCTAGAGTTTATGATGCACCCTCCCAGGTAAGCAGTGATAAGAGTCCCTTAGCATGTAGAACGATACCAGTTTTCTAGATCAGCATTGTCCATCTTTTTAATGATGAGCAATTCATGAGTATAAAACATATAACATACAATATATATGGATTTAACCTCGAGATAGAGAAATACACCCAAAAACAATGCACTATTTATTTATTTTTTTTAAACAGAATAATCTAAATTCTAGATCATCATTGCTTCCAGAATATAAATGCAATGGTAACAGTAGAGCATGTAAATGCTTGACTCCGGAATAAAGAATGGGATCTTTGCTACTTTGTAAATTATCATATGGCCTTATTAAAATACACCTAAAATGTTACTATTTAGTTTAAATTAGTATTGCAAGGACATGCAATCTGGTCTATTTAGTTAGATATAAGTGGCAGTTTTCATAAGACATAATAACACTTTGACACTTCTAGTTTCAGCAGAAAATGAAACTTTATTATTTACTTGACTACAAACAATCAAACACATGAATGTGATACATCATACTACATACACTGTCCTCCCCCAACCCCCCCAGCATTTAATACTTGGGGTGTGTTGTGGGAAATCAACTAAAGGAAGCCTCTTCTAAACTTGCTCCCCAGTAATAAAACTACTGAAGCTAATTTAATTGTTGTAGATTATGCTAATATTGTTTAAAAACAAACAAACCATGAACTCCCTGAAATTACACAATTAAAACACACACAATTTTATCCTTGGACAATGTTCCACTCCTTTATTCCACAGGTTGTAGCTTGTTTTCCAGACCCTTTCACATGGCTGTGTAGTTAGTGATTGATATTATTTCAAATCATCTAACTACACTGCCTGGTGACCAGGTTGATAAAATCTATGAATATGTCCAGATTGAGAGAGCTAGGATTAAATTCATCGAAGTGGATCAAGATATAATAAAGGCTCCTCCCCACACATTACCCTTAAAACAAATATTGAAAATCCAAATGACTCTAAGACCTTGGTTGACAAATGTTAGTAAATACAGAAGCAATGCACATTTAGGAGCATTTTCATTAACTCAGTATATGGCATTATAACATATTTAAAAAGTAAGGAGCCAGTGGTGATATTTCAAACTGACATTTGTGCTGTTTACAAGCACTGTCAAAAGGCTTTTATGCCAACATATCTAAGCTTTGATTAACATTAATGTTTACAGAAAGGGATACATTTCCATCTCTCTTTTAGCGTTTTAGAAGTAGAATCAGATCAACTAATGGGAAATATATGAAAGAACCAGAGGACTATTTTCAAATATCAGTGATTTTAGAGGGGAGAAATGTACATTCCTTATTGTCTTGAGTAACCAATTAAAAGGTCATTGTACTTTGTTTGGCTTTTTTCCTTTATACGGCTCTAGATGGTGATAGGAAAAATTAAACACGTTTTTAAAATGCCACTCACATGCAATTACGGCACTGTTGTTGTGTGTTAAATTCTGATGGTAGTGTAGCTAGTGATTGTAAGTTATATAAATGCACAATCAGCTAACTACACTGCCTCAAAGCTTAACACAGTGTTTTAAGTCAATGTACCAGTGTGACACCTGGAAAAGAAAATGTATTGTTAAAAAAATTACAAACAACATATCATATATTTCAACATACAAAAAGGCTAAAAATAGACACATAAAAGCTATAGTGTTATAAAAAAAAAAAACAATTTAAACAATGTCACATTATATAATGTAAATGAATAGAAAGTGTGAAAGATTTAGTTACAAAAAATTGTATTGCATTCTGTTTGCCTCTCCAAAACTATAGTGCTCCATCATTAATTTTACATTGTACATTACTGCAAATAAACACATATGCCCATTAATAACATCTAAATATTTAACTATTTAATGGAATGTGATAAAACACTAATTTCAGCACGAGCTTTTCAATCTCAATGCCAGTTTCTACTTTTTCAAGCCACTGTATTCATTAAATGTTATTACTCTACCAACCTACCTTACAATACAAAAAAAGCACCTCCTAATAAATAAATATATTTTCTTTAGCTGTCTTTTATAGCTTTAAAAACAAGAGAATCATGCAGAAAAAATAAAAGAGGAGAACTCTTAACACCAAGCCAAAGTCTGTTGGAGTTTTCTGTATACAATCTGTATCCATGGACATGTGATGTAAGAGTAGGCAGGTGTATGTCTACGTGTACGGGCAGTGCCTATCCACACAAATGATATGCTTTGTTAACTAGGATTTATTTTAGAAGACGTTTCCATGGATAGCAGGAAATACATTGAGCACCTCACCAATTGCAGCCACAACTAATCACTTTTGGCTCCCAGAAGCCAGTTTTTATTTCTTGCAATTACCAATGTCAGGTAGTCTGGTATTTTTTTATTTATTTTTTAATATGTATACTTTACGGAAAAGCGGTGTGGCATAATAACATTATGTGGGCCTGGGCTTTAGAATAGTACTAAATATATAATATATATGATTTCAGTCTATTATTTCAGGATATAATATGGATTCTTTGTCTACTCATATAATGTCCTTGTAACAGGCGTTCATTAAAGGATCTTAATGCCCTCCCCATGCAATCCATATGACAGATAGGTTCTGGGCTGTAGAAACATAGAATGTGACGGCAGATAAGAACCATTCGGCCCATCTAGTCTGCCCAATTTTCTAAATACTTTCATTAGTACCTGGCCTTATCTTATAGTTAGGGTAGCCTTATGCCTATCCCACGCATGCTTAAACTCCTTTACTGTGTTAACCTCTACCACTTCAGCTGGAAGGCTATTCCATGCATCCACTACCCTCTCAGTAAAGTAATACTTCCTGATAATTATTTTTAAAACTTTGTCCCTCTAATTTAAGACTATGTACTCTTGTTGTGGTAGTTTTTCTTCTTTTAAATATAGTCTCCTCCTTTATTGTGTTGATTCCCTTTATATATTTAAATGTTTCTATCATATCCCCCCTGTCTCGTCTTTCCTCCAAGCTATACATGTTACATACCCATAAAGATGCCCAGAACACAGCTGTCATATGGATTGCATGGGGAGGGCATTAAGATCCTTTAAACCATGTGTTATATATAAATTATGCCCCAGATTACGGAGCGAGACGGTGCTATCAGATACCTCTTAGAAATTAAAATACCCGGGCAGTCAATCAAATCATTCACTAATACCATTGATTACAAATGTGCCTGACCGGTTCTTTAAATCTATAAAATAATGATTTCTGGCCAAAACACATATTTAGTGAGAATCTCCCAACACTAATAATATACAGAACAATTATTTAATTCCTGTATCTACCCCGTCAGAAATGCCACCGGTTAGTGTGTGGGGTAAATAATCCTCACATAGAGACCTGTTATTATTTATTGTAGTAAATTGAATTTTTTTTTTTTTTTTTCTGAAACAGCACACAGTCCTGATAATAAATAATGTGTATAGTGCTCAGTGGTCTGATACCTAGTGAATGTGATGTTCCAGCCCATAATAACCACATTGGGATTACCACAGGCCTGCCATGAAGCCATTGTGAGATTAGTTGGAGAAACTCTGCCATGTCCATTATGGCCAGTAATGGCCAAGACTTGGCACTCCACCTGCTGTGTACATGGCTATCACAGGGATCTAACTGTCTGTAACTCTATTCTAGCCTGCTATATGAAAAGTCAAAAGTTGTGCTTGGACATTATGAAACCACCAGAGTTTGGAAGAAAAGCCATTAGTGGAAGAGACTCACCTTACTCCATCCCTGGTTACTGCCCCCCTGAGCGGCCGAGGGCGGACTGAGCAACCCGGCTGGGTTCCTCCCCTTTATATAGGCAGCCAGGTGAGGCACGTGGGTGGTGTCAACCGCTGTCCAGGAATGTCAGTGCGCGTGCCGGGTTGGGGAGGCGGGAAGGACCCACGGAGGGGAGGAGGAGGGAAGGAGCAGCGCGCGCAGCGCTCCCTGGCGGGAAGGTGTGGCAGGATTGGGCAGTTGAGATGTTTGGGCGGGAAAGTGAGAGCGCGGGGTGGGTGTGTGTGTGGTAACAGCTTGGCTTGTTTCGCTACCTCACACAGATAACAGGTTCATAGAAAGCTAAGCCTTTAAAGAATGTGAAACACCAACAGAATTAATGTCAGTCTGGAAACTAAACGTGTCAGACAGGGGCAATCTTAATGCTGCCCTCAGAGACTTTCACTTGAGATTTCTGAATCAATACATATCATTACATGGCATTGCCACCATTCTGTCAGGCTTACAGTCCATTCATTGTATGCCCTCTGTAGTGGTTAATAGACAATTTATATACAGTACCCACAGGTAGCTTTCTTTAAATATATATATATAGTCTGTAATCCCTGATAATGGGGTTAGTAATCCCCTTTATATAGTGTCTAATCCCCAAGAGTCCCCTTATTAGAGGGAACATGTTCCCTTCATAAATAATCAATAATCACCAAGAGTTCCCCAATTATGGGGTCAATTGTTCTTTCATATAAAGTCTTAAACCCAAAGTGGGGGATCCCCTTTTGTGGGGTTAATAGTATATTTATCGTTTTACACACAGTTCATAATCCCCAAATGTACCCCTTTAAGGATAAACTTTAATATTCTTTTAAAATTTCGTCAAAATTCAGCCTCTAATCCCCACATCTCCCCCTTTTAGGGCATTAATAGTCCCTCAGTCTTTCTATATCTATCTATCTATCTATCTATCTATCTACAAACACAGTTCATAATCCACAAGTGTACCCCTTTTAGGAGTTAATAGTTAATCTCTTCAAATATATATATTTAGTCCATAATCTGTGTCCTCCACATTTAGCAGTTAATAGTAAATTCATATATATAGTTCATAATTTTTAGGAGTGCCATCCCTATCCCTGTGTCTCTCTTTTCCCCACCAATTTCTATTATTTTTGGTGAATAGTGATATGTTCAAAGAAGCCCAACGAGAGAGTAGTCACAATAATTGTGATAATTTACACAACTTTTAAAAACAAAACAACATTTGGATTCATTTCAAAAGTATTTAAAGTATTTTGAACTATGGTTAATGGAAAAGCTTTATTAAAATTAAATAGTCTAAAACATTGTCTTTTTTTTAAATTTTATTTTTTTAGGATATTCAAAAATCTGTTCCAATGTATTAAATTATTTTAAAGGTAGTCTGAAAAGGGTCACTTTTTTATTTCCTGACAGAAATGTGTGTCCAACTAATTAAGAATATTGTGCAAATACACACGAACTTGCAAGTATTCTGTCTTAGCTGGTACATCAAGTTAAGAGATGTAAATGCCAAGAAATAGCACATTTTTTCTGGTGCAAAACAAATGTGTAAATATTGATAAATGGAATGAGCTACATAGAAAAGTCTCAAAAGTAATAAATAGGGAAGAGGAAAATTGGAATTCATAATTCATGCTAAAAACAAATCTCATAAAAAGGTGCAAATTATTCAGCAATACTTAGATAACACTCCCTTTATCAGGGTTATTCACTAAAATAAGAATTTTAGGGAATTCAAAGTTAATTTGAAATCGAAGGTCAAAGGTGCTTAACTAACAGCACAATGTCCCTAAAATTCTGGGAGAATTTTCCGGTTTAGTTCATTTGACCGTAAATTTTAAATTCACTTTGAATTCCCTGCAATTCTCATTTTTGTGACTAAACCAGTTATTGTTTAGTATTTAAAGTAGATCTGTCACTTTTCAGTATTTGATAAAGATGCAATCTTTATCAAATACTATTTAAAACTGTGTCGGAATTTCAGTAAAATTCCAACGCAGCCAAAGTTATCATGATACAAATTATGGACTACTTTGTCTTATGGTGAAGTGTGAGGTTGACCAAAAATTACAATAGGAGGAGTTCCTCTGTCAACTTTTATCCAGTTCCTGCAGCTATCATAAATGACAGCTATGGGATTTAGACATGGTCTTTGAAGGAATCTGCAGTCTCCCGGGATCCTCCATAGACCTTAGTGTGGTACTCTAACATGTGTGCGAGAGTACAACACTGACGTGGCTCCTGTCGGCTGAAGCCTCAAGAGACCTGAAGCTTTGACATAGCGGCGGGAGCAAAGGACAGCTTAAAACTCCCCTGCACCACAGACCACCGGCCCCACATCAGATCTGTCCGTTTTGGGGGTCTTTGCAAAATATGCCATTGTGAAATTGGCTGAGCCACTTAAATGGAGGAGTGTGGTTGGAGATGACCACAGGAAAGCATTAATCTCCAAAAGCAATTTAAACAATAAGCATTGCAGTTAGCGTGTTTTTTTCCCATGTTAACTTTAGCATAGAACCCATAGATATTGGGGTAATGTGATGTATTGGTGGGCTTTACGCAATGTGGCCCTGTGGTGTAATCAAATCTCCATATTTGTTTGCAAAGATAGGGGATTTTAAGTAGTCTTGTAAAATGTAAAACTTTCTTATAGTTACACTGGGTTGGGCTCCCCCTCTGTCGACGTCAGCCAATTGGGGGGAACCTAATGCACAGTGAGCGCTTAGGCCTTCCCTAAAGGAACGCATTGCAAAGCGTGAGGACAT